AACACGTACCAATTACGTAGTAAATACGTAACAATTACGTAGTAAATACGTAACAATTACGTAGTAAATGCGTAGTATTTACGTTTTTGGGATATTTTCGGGCGCAAATCATTATATACTGAACACCATTTTAGAATGAGATCAATTTTGTAGAAATTTTATATTTTATTACACGGAGCCAAAAGTCAGGCTTTTCTGTGCGCATTCCCGGATATGTGGACGCATCTTTGGGCGCTACTTTTCTTAAATGACATAATCAAATCTAGACGTGTGCGATCGACATTGTGCGTGCCTTACTATATAACTTACTTGTTCTAGTTTATTTGAGTATTTTCTCAAATTTAAACTCAATTTTTGAAAAGATGTGCGCGTAGCAATTAGTCAATTGTACTTTACAAGATAGCGCCCAAATCTCCAAATTTTCTGAACGCGCGCCATTGCAAATTATTTTTTTTATATATTATGCAACATTTGCAGATCAAATAGAATTCAACAAAACAAACTCATGCGAAGGGCGAAGGATTCATAAAATGAATTGATTACTAGATACTTGATTTTTCACGCGTAGTCTTGTTCGACAATACTACCAAAATATTGAACTACAGGGGAAACCGCGCGCTCATTTCGACACCAAATCAATATGCGACCGAATCTATTTTTTATGCGATATTCCTAATAAACTTAAAGATATTGACTGTTTCTTACTTGAGAGTAAATTAATTTAAGGTATGTTTAGCATGAACTTCAGAATTCGTCCTTTTTGAAACAAATTTCATATGTCATTCAACAAAATATTTCTTACTTAAATATTTTTATTAGCACACGGTGTCCCATTAACTTTAACACAAGCAAAACGAGTGCTGCATTCGAGTGCAAAATGAGAAACTCCGTTTGAACTTTGATTAACATGCGTGGTTTCATAACAATAAGGAAAAGTTCTAAGGATTGTTTTCTTTCCTGTTTTCTTCATCTTAAAATAGAATATTACATTAAAAAGTACCGCAGATGACTATAATAAACATGCTTGCTTTTCAACATTCACTCTCCATGTGTGAAATGCCCATATAAATATACAGAGCCGCATTCGTTCACCTTTTGCAGTCGCGGGCCTCTCATAGCGAGGTCCGCGTAATTTTCTATATGCATACACGTTTATATACACATATGTAAAACAAATCCTATATATCATCGTTTATGTAGATACCGACATTATAACATAGATTTTAAACATAATTCTAGAATAATTAATGGAATGTGATTTTTATTTCACAACATTTGAATGCATTCCGCTAGATTAATAACATTTTGAACTATATTTATAAACTGTATAGATAGTTTGGATTAAAAATTTACCCTAGGCATTCAGCTAAAATCAATCATTTGCCGGTGAAAGTCTGCATTTTTAATTTCAGAGCCGCATGAAATCTAAGAAAAATGCATTCGCATAAGAAAATGCACTTCGCCAAAATTTCATGGACCGCATCGCACGGGTAATCAACCGTTGTAATAATCAGAAGCCAACCAATACATGATACATACATAAATAGATACATTTAGTAAAGAGAGTTTTTTGATATATTTTTAGATAAACAACTGAAGAAAATTTGCGTAGACTAAAGCTTGAATGAACTCTCTATGCGTAATACACAGTCAGATAAATATCATTATAATATAGTGCGCGTCACTGGTAAACCTTTTACGGTATACCTGTGTTGCTTACTTAATTAATTGTAAATCCAAAATATAAGCAGTATAATATAGCGATTAGTAATATTAATATCTATAATTATTTATTAGCTAAGAATAACTATTGCATGGCCACTGCTTTTGTCATCGTCTTTTATTTCTTTCATCAAATACTCAATACGCAATTAATATAATCAGTTACTAAAACATTTTTGTATTATATAATATATTTATATTTTTTTACAAACCGTATTTAGTCTGATACCTTTTAGGCCATCGGAAGTGTATACTGTTCAGAGTGAAACTTGATCGAATCTTCTGTACACATACTTATTTATACATATATAGTCATTAGTTATAAACTATCTTAAATCGATTTGAATTGAAATACGTATGTCAACATTGCGATCACACTTGCAAAGATATGTTCAGATTATCTACAAATATTGTCATTTCACACTCGACTTAACATCGGAAATGTGTATTCCTCTTCAGAAACACATGTACCTTAATTCCGGCTTCGTGTGAAAAGGCACTTACAAATAGTGCTGCAAGGTCTGATTTATCATTTTATCTCAACAACTCTTAATTCATTAATAACTTCTATTACCACGCCTGTGGATCAAGCAAAGCATATGTTTCCAAGTTTACTTCTCTAATTTATTAACAATTATCATAACACATCTAATCACAGATTAATCCCAAATGGAGAAAATCACTTTACAAATGTGATCACAACAAATGTTTTATTTAGTTTTTTCATTATCGCCTTGCAATTGAGCAACGGTTTTCAGGTACTACTAGGTTGTTCGGCTTTTTGCAATATCAAATATTTCGAGAGACTTATCACAGAGCACGGAACGAATCCACGGCTTATAATACTGCTATTTTAATTGCTGATATTTTTTTTAAACGTTTTAATTTTATTCATTTTCGCAAACAGCAATTATCTATTTTTCAAATAATAAGTGCGTTTGATTTGAATGATAGTGTATAAAACAAATGTCATTAACAGAATAGTAGTTATAATTTTTTTTATCTGATTTACGATTTTAATTCAAAATAATTTTGCATTGATTTTAATTAATTACTGTATTTGTAATTGTTCTATGATAAGTTAATTAACATATTTACAGCGATTTTTTATATTTATGATGCGTATACTAGTTCTATTAAATCTATTTTTATAACTATACCTGTATATAGTGGGTGTATTTATACTTTTATTGAAATGTTCAATTTAAAATGTTGAATTACACATTTGTAATTTTTTTTATTTTTGAGCACTGACATTGTAGCCGATCAACCACTGTAAATATTTTAATTCTGCGGATATACAAACAGTATAATGCATATGTAAATTTAATAAAACTTTTAGTTGTATAATTTAGATTAGTTGTTTGTAATGATTCGCTTTAGTAGTATAAATATTATCAGGCTACACTTAGGAGCAAAAGATTTAAATTCAACACTGTTGTTATCCTATACATAAACCCGTTTCGTAAATCATCTTATATCTTATTTTTAAAAGCTTTTATTTATTGAAGTTACTTTTGTAATCAGTGTTACTTCGATATTTAATACGTTCAATTCTAACTGTTAACAATTCAGTTTTATTTATGTTGTTCAATTTTTGATATATGGTCGAATGCAATAACCTGATTAAATAATCTACTAATCAAATGACTATTAGCCAATTTACAGTTTATTTTGATAATATGGTTACGTGTTTTTTGTATGTATGTGCATGTGCGTAAGCAGTAGAAGAAAGTAACCATATATGAACTTTTTACCATTTTTGGTAAACACAACAAGCTGATCTAGCAATTCCACACCTTGTGGTGAGAGCTTTTATCTCTTTATAACCAGTATAATATACATATGTGGTTACTTTTCTTTAATGTTTGGTATACGAAGGCCTATAAGGCCTCAGGATTGTAGGGCAAAATAACAAAAACACAAAATAATGTCAAATTAAATTTTTTTAATGTATAATCACACATAAATGAAAACACAAAAACAACATAATACGTTATCGAAATTAATATAATCCAAAAACAAAGCGTACACGACAATAAAATTATGATGTTATTATGTGTAAAATAATCTAAAAAATCCAAATCATAAAACATTAAATGAAATAAACAAATCATAAGTGCCCTCAAGTGTAGTAGGTTTTAGCAAATATTTCTGATATCCAATTTTGATATTGCGATCAAATCCGAAACCTAAGCTACTAGGACGCCATCAATATCTGCGAAAAAATGATGTTGTATAAAATTATTTTGTTGAACTCATGAAGACGAATAATAAAAAAAGTTTTAATTATGCGTGGTGGGTTGCAGATCCCGCGCGGTATTCAACTAAAACTTCCACGGGCATTTGAGTTAATCGAGACAGCGTTATCGGCCAATTATATCATTTCAATATTGATATATCGCTTTCTAGGAATGATTTTTGTATTAATACAATTCTAGCATACGTATTGTGTCTATAGAAGTTTTAGTCTCTTTTCGGGTTGATTATATCACTGCAATATTAGGTTGCGCGAGTTGCAATGAGCCTGCAGTACGTTATCTTATTGAAATGGTTTCTATATCACAAGTATTTCATTTAAAGTTGGACTGAAACTTTGGAACGATTCTTTGGATTGTTTCTTTGAGATTATTTCTTTAGTACGTAATCGCTGTTTATGTAGCAATTCTATCCTACGTGCATTTTAATCAATTGCACAATACATGACTTAGTTAACACATAAATACATAAATATATCTTAAGTTGACATAATAATTAAGTTAAAACTAATATATATGTTTATATAAGATTAATTTAATTTAAAAAGTATAGGTATATATATTATGATTAAGTACTTTATAAGAATATGTCTAAGAAACTTACAAACGACGACGAATAATTGATGCCACATAAGAAAGAAAAAAAGTAAAACGCCAAACAAGAAACTTACAAAAACGCATTTAAGGATTGAATATGCAATATAGTGAACGCGGAAACGGTGCTTACACACCGTGCGTTTTATTTTTTGACTAGTACCTCTAAAGACCTTATCTTACAGCATCATATCAGAACGAGCAAAGTCCAGCCTATCGTTACTTCGCCCTCATTCAATTACTTACTTCTAAGTACAGTATTTTTTTAATTATTTCATAAACTACGAGACGCACACGTTCGGCTTAATAACCGAACGCCCCGTCACATCCGCCTAGCTAAACGAATTCAAGGGACGATTTCATTTAAAATTTATTATTTTTTATGTACAAAATGTTATTTTCGCTATGGAGGAGAGAGTGAGCATTTTCGGCTGCCTTATGCGGTTTTGCTCTTATTAGTTTTGAAGCTGACTTGAAGTACTCGATTTCCGAGTGTGTAGCCGTTCAATGATTGGATCGCCACAACCGCTTCATCGTAGTTCGTCATCGTGACGAAACCGAAGCCTTTGCACTTATTGGTTTGCAGGTCACGGATGACTTTGACGCTTTGAACGGCACCGAAGGGCCCGAACAGTTGCCACAGCACATTCTCCTCGGTCTCAGGCGCCAAGTTGTACACGAATATACACCAACCCGAACCGTTCATCGCATTACCCGGCAACATGGAGTTGGCCAATAGGTCTCCGGCCAGTGGCGAGTATCTACCATGGTTCAAATACCTTATTAGAAAACTTTTGTCATGATTGTTACTTATAAATATCATTGAATTTTATTGCTCAAAATTAATCAAGTTACCTAAATCTTCCTGTCGGATGGTGGATTGGCCCCGCGAATCGTCTTGTCGCCTGCGGCGTTAGGTACGCTGCGAGCGGTGGGATAGCTTTGTTGTTGTTGCTGGGATTATTAGCGAATTTAACAGTAATTGGTTCCGTCGATCCTTTGGGTATAGTAGCATTGAGTTCCTGAATAGCACGTTCGGCTTCCATGCGCTGATCAAATCGGATGAAACCGACACCTTTTGACAACCCTGCGATCACCGCATCATTAGTGGCAAACTCATTGTAGAAAAACATTCCTCAAATCCAAGACGGTACAATATATAACAAGACGAAATCGGCGCTTTGTTTTAATATAAAACAGATATCTAATTAATGCCCGTTCTGAATTTCAATTGTCCATCGTGGATCATCAGGAATGAATATTTTAAAACATATCGAGACCGTTAACAAAACATTCACTCTGCTTCAGGATTTGCACGCTACGCCACAAATACATTAATAACATTGCGTGAATGACGATGGTTTGTACAATAATATCATTCATGAATAAATAATGATAAACAGTGCAAGAAATAAATTTTATGCATATGAGATATTCACTGCTTTTAAAAGTCTGCATTTCTGCTTTAAACAGTAATATTTCATTTTTAAATTAATTGCCAAACGTAAAGTACTATACAAAGTGATTATCATAATATAATATTCTGAACGTACTAGATATATTACGACAAACCATCATCTTGATGCCATCGCATGTTTAAATATTGCCATAAAGTTTACACAGAACCAAAAGCAACATTTTGAATTCTATATGCACGAATAAACACATGTGCATTTAATAATTAGTTAATTATTGTATTCCTTTGTCAATTTATATTTATCTCAAATATTGCTAATGGTATTTTTCAGTTTTTGCAAATGAGTTGCGTTAGTGGTTGGTGCCGTGTCAGATAAAATTAACCAAAAGATTAGTTAATCGAGCTGCGCTGATCTATAAATCATATTTATCAAAATCAAAATTGTATTCACTGTATATTTTATAATTTCATTCATCGTGGTACCTTAAAGGTTTTTTTTGTAAAACAAAAAAGAATGAATCGAATGAAAGAAACGACACATGCCACGATGCAAAAACGCAAAACATTAAAAACTATATTAAACTTAACAAGCAAACTAAAATAATAAAAGACAACTAAAACTATTTTCAAAATAGAGAGAGAGCTTGATGCGGGAAGTGAAAGAATAATTACATATCAATAAGATTCTGATCAATTCTGCCTATCATTGGAAGGATAGTGCAGACAGTTTATAAATTTAGTTTTGATAATATTTAAAAAAAATGTAAAAATTTCAGAATTTATTTTTAACGCATAGCCTTATCTCTATTTAGGATTGGGATATTGGGATAATGTTAAACATCTAGCAGATGCACACAAGATTCATACATCGACAATCGGTACACACCTAACTTGTTGAATAGATTTTAAATTGAGCTTTTTGTAAGTATTATTTCTTACATTCGGAAGCCATTTCAATTGCCAACCACGCGCGCATTTTGTAGATGTATTTTGAAAATATAAAAATACATCTATATTTGCAAATTTTCTTCAATCAAAATCCAAATACTTATGAAGTTAAAAAAAACAAAGAAGGATGAATAATTAAATTAAATTAATAGAGATTTTTAGTGGTGGCTTCAATATTAAGCGTTATGTGACCGAGTGTCGAGTGAGGTCTCGGTGTAGTATAATAAACATATTCAAAAAATTAATAAATTTATGGCATATGGGCCATGGTATACGTACCAGGCACATTTTCTCCGGAACCAGTCACAAATTGACGTACTAGGAAAGAGAGAGAAAAGGCAAAATATAGGAACATTATTAGAAAACCAAAATAACAAAAATCAAAAACAACCAAGAAGAGAAAACTACACTGTGACCTTCAGTACGAGATGTCATACAAGTCACTTTATTAAATCACTAAAGGGCCTATGATGATTTTGTCGTTAACCATAATAAAAATAAAAATTATTTGGAACTTTCAAATTTTTTTTTTTTGAGAAATGTGTACTAATTAAAAGGTAATACTTAGCATTGCAACACTAATGACACACTAAATGTTTATCATCATGGACTTTTCAGTGCTTTATATATATATATATATATATATATATATATATATATATATATATATATATATTAAAAATCATAATGTTGTAAAATTTTGATCATGAGCAGATTCACAATTTTCAATCAAATTAGTAATGCTTTAACTTGAACTATACACATGCAGTGAGACCTAGATTGAGATTATTAATTATTCACGTGAGTCCAAAACATTTAGTAGAATGTAGTAAAATCTCATTTAGCTTCAAATTCGAATATATTTTGCGTCAAATTTTGAATAATATAAATTTTATAGCAGTAATGAAAACATTTGTTTTAATTTTGAAGTATCTTACTAATATTAATAAATATTCAATCAAATCAAAAATTAAAAAAATCCCTCATACGAGAAATGTGGGAGCAAAGTTGAAATAAATATAGATCCTATAATTAATAGTAACAAAATGAAAATTGTGAATGCTACTCAAAAATTTCTATTGTTGCATATAAGTGTGCCAAATAAATATACATGTAGGTATAATGTATATGTATGTATATATATATATATATATATATATATATATATATTAGGGTAGTTCTGAATATGGACATTTTCGAATTTTATTGCTCCAAGGGGCTTAAATGCTTCTAAATTAATAAAAAAAAAATCTCTAAAAGTTTTAGATTCGCATGGAAATAGCATGGAAACAAATTTGAGATTTAAAAAAAAAATTTTGTTTGCTAAAAAAAACATTTTTTAAATTTTTGAAAATTTTTCCATACTATTTCCATTCAAAACTTTGATTAATTTGCACACTATCTAAAAGACTATATTAAGATCTAAAACTTATAGAGCATTTTTTATCAATTTGGAAGCATTTGAGCCCCTGGGAGCAAGAAAATTCAAAAATGTCTATATTAAGGACCACCCCCATATATATAAACAAAATGATATATTACAAAATAATTTTCTGCAACAATCTCATATATTGAAGTCTAATCAAACAAAAATAATAAACATAAGCTACCACGATAAACAATATAAATATGAATTTATAATAAATGTTTATTATATTAATTATTATCATTATTAATTTGCTCAATTAATATTAGAAAGCAGTAGAAAGAAATTTAATATACATGTGTATATAGACTAAAATCTGACTGCGGCATCTCCACTCGCCGCTTCACTCATTTCCGTACTTTGGAAATAGAAAGCATTATTAAAACAAGCTCTACAATTCTATTTGGAATTGATTTGGACACGAATGTATATATATTCATAAATAAAATTTATAGCTTCTTGTATTATATTCACAAACTATTTTGAAGCACTCACAGAGCCGCTCATCAATGCCTTCTATTCAAAATGCTCATTATTACATTTTTAAAAGTTTCCTTATGAAGATCATTTAACCAATTATTCTGCTTGCTGACAATAATAAATTGATGTGAAAACTATCACGAGCTAAAACCAATAGTAGCAGCAAAATTTATTCAATGACAAATCACTTATAGATGAACAACATTACTTTTATTTTATTAATTTAGTTAAGATTAATTTGTCAATTACTTTATTATTCGGTGTACGGCTACATATAAAAATCGACACCAAAATATTCAACAATAGAGGTCAATTTTATCAAATCCTCTATTGGAAATTTTATCTCATTGTCAGAACATGTATCGCTATGTTAATAGAAAATACTAAAGTTACTCTATCACGCCGATTTTTTTATTTGGGTTGATATTGTTCAAGTATTATTTATTATTATTATATTATTTAGTGTGCCGTATATCATAGTCTTTTTTAACCAGCAGTTTTACCTGTGATGTTGTCGCATAGTATGCGAGATGTTATGATGCGACCATATGGACTGAAAAGAGCTTCCAAGTCTTGTTGGGTCATGTTTTTGGGCAGACCTGACACGTACAAATTGGCGCCTTTGATCGCCTCGGAACTCGGCCGCGCGTACGACACCTGTATAGACGAAAGTAAATATAATTGTAATAGTACTATGGTCAATCAGACTAAATTAAAAAAAAAACTAATTAAATTGAGGTTTTTTACACCCTGATGTCGAATCACTAGATTGTCATACGATTTGGATTTTCTAAGTACTACCAAAAATTTCCCGATAACAACTTTGGAATAGGTGCAGATTTAAAAAAAAAAACACATAAATATGGCGTACGTTATTTTGTAAGCATGATTTCAGAAAAAGCAAAAAAATAAATTTTTATTTTATATTTCATAATAATATTTTCAAATCCGTTCAATTTGAATTACAACAAAAAAACAAAAGTATTTTCGCTAGGAATACCAATTCCATATATCATATCATTTTAGTGTGTGTGTGAATAAAAACTTTCTCGAAAATTTTCAAACATTTCAATTAACATTTTAATAAATTTAATGTATTTGATAAAACTAAAAAATTATGTACCAATTGTTAATATTTATATTAATATATCATACAAAAATCTGCTGAGCCATAATTAAGAGATAAAGGTATTTTTATTTAAAAGACAAAGGCAAAACGTTTACTTGGAAGGCAAAAAATGTGAATTATTTGAATTCTTGCATTTAACAAATTTCAAAAAATTTCAATTTTTGTGTACAACTTGATAAATTTCTTCTCTTCTTCTATTTTCTACATCGGAAAATACTTTTATTATATACCATTCATTCGTGAAAACTTTGTAAGCACGATTTACATTTGCAGAAATCAGCAAAAACAACCATTCAAACATTTAAACTATAAAGTAGTGGTCAACATTCTATAAAATAGTATAATTGATGGAAAAGAATATTTTTTAATTAAGCATACGTATGTATTGTATTATTGAAGTTATAGTAATCGCAAAAAAATTTAAAACGAAAATTTTTGCATATCTTTACGTTTCATAGCTTTCTGAACATTTTGGCACACCTTAAGAAAAATGTATGTATGTGCGTGTGTATGTTCGGTACCATTTCTCGTCCACGATTTCGAGAGTACGGAATCAACCGATTTTAATGATCCAAAAACCATACAGTTTGTATGGACGGGGGAGTGTGCTGATTAGTTTTTGACAAAGACAAGACCAGCCCTTTCGAAGATACGGAGCAAGTACAAAGAAAACAATCTTTGAGAGAAATGTTTTTAAAAAATATGAAAACGGACCATCCGATTACTTGAAATAAATGATTTTAACTTTGCAATTTAGGGACCGATCTGCCGCATAACAGAAAAATATTATGGCAAAACCATGTTATGAAGAACTTTCCATACTAAATATTGACAAAGCCATGTGGTTGGTGTGCAGTCAGGGGTATTTCTCAAGTTGTCACTTAGAAAACCTAACCTAGAAACCTAACAAATGTCAAAAAAACGTTTTTGGATAACAGTGTGTTTGTGACACATCTTCATAACATACGAGTGACGTTGTTGTTTACGTGTAGAGCGCCTGAATGCACAGCAAATACATGACATTTTTACAGTATTCAGTATGATTTAGTAGCATAATATGTAAGTTGGAGCGTAATATGGCCTTGCCATAACATTTTTCTTTTGTGAGGCAGAATAGGTCCCTTAGTTTCAAACTGTTATATAACTTTTAGAAATTTGAGAGATAAGGACAAATATTAGGTTTGGTTTATTATTAATTTGTTTGTAATTTTCTTTTAAACATATATAAATACCGTCGCCGAAATATGAGCACTTATGTTAGATCTATAAAATACGAATGATAAAATTATCAGTATTTATAATAAATATTTAAAAATGTTTGAAGAAAATTGATGTGCCACATCAATTAAAAGCTATTATAACAAATAAATATTTTTAAATTTGCAAACAGTTATATAATAATAATAATAAATGGTAGTCTGCCCGAAGGCAGGTCCATGGTGTGAGAGCCACCACAACAAATGATTTCCTTGCCCTTCATCCCATTACCACTTTTTTTTTTTAGATATTTTTTTTATATTAGATAAGGACAAATATTAGTTTTGTTTATTAATAATTTCTTTGTAATTTTCTTGTATACTAAATAAATGCTCTCGCCCAAATATGAGTACTTATGTCAGTACTTACGAATGATAAAATTATCAGTATTTTTGATACACATTTAGAAATATTTGGAAAAATTATGACTGCTTGATTTTTTAATAATTATTAATTATCAGATATTCAATTATGGTACGGGAAGTTCCAGAAATTTTCTTTAAGGCACAATGCCATGCTCCACTAGTTAACATCAATTAAAAGCAATTGCAGTTCGAATTTGGGCCGAAGTCCATCATAGAGTGCCTCTGCAGAAATATTGAACGCATGCTAGTTTGAAGCTGTTTGAAATAAAAGCAGTATGGCTCTATGCGTTAACGGAGGTGGAAGTTTCCCGGCGTTTCGGGAAAACGCCATCTTCATGCGCTTGCGCAGCCACTTGCCGCGCTTACTGACGGGGCGGTGGCCGAGAATCGATAACGCTACGGAACCGTAGCCAGAAGAGAGACATGTACGACGCGTAGTGGGTACTAGTGTTAGAAGTATCGAGGCAAAAGATCGATATTGAGTACTTTGAAAAGTATCTAATCAAAATATCGATGCCAAAAAAATATCGTGGCGAAAGTATCGATAGTACTCAATATCGAATTTTGTGTACTTTTCATAAAAATCAAACATAAGTGCAAGAAAGATCTAAAACTCATTAATAAATATCATATCACAATATTAGAATGAATTCTATTGCTTGTATCTGATGTGTTAAATCAGAATCATTTTCAATATTGTAAAATTTTAACAGTAATTTTTCAATACTAATTTCAAATTCTATACTTCTTCAAAAAAAAAACTACAAGTTATAATAGTTGAGTATTTTTGATTAAAACAATATAATAGTCTGATACTATATTCAAAATGCAATTTTATTCATTTTTAAGTATTTTTAAGTACAATAATATTTTTAATATTTTTCAATAAAATAATATTTTATAATTGTTGAATATTTTTATATGAATAATTTTAGCGAACATGCAATTGCATAAAAGTGCAATATAAAGCTCCTTGGAAAGCAATAAACATTCAGTTTAATGACGGTCAAAATAATATTTCGGCATTTGAAAAACATAGGATTTAGCTCATAGGAATCTTTATGTATTTCTGATTGCTAAATAAAACTGAGTTTAAAAAAAAAAAAAAAAAAAAAAAAAAAAAGATTGAAAAACATTCCTTCGGAGCGATGGGATTTAAAGTTTAAATGGTTCCGAGAAACTCAAACCCATATGTTTGCATGCTGATATTCAAAAATTTCAATACATGAGTATTTTGCGTAAAAAAGAATCGAAATATATTATTTCGAATAATAATACTCAACCATTTCAATATATATATATATAAAATATATATTTATATTTTAAAATATAATAAACACAAAATACTAATATATTGAAATTGATGAATATTATTATTTGAAATAATTATATTTCGATTCTTTTTTACGTGAAATACTAATATATTGAAATTGGTAAGTATTATTATTTGAAATAATCATACTTCGATGCTTGAATATCTTTTTATAAAACATTTAAGGTACTTTAAATCATTTTATTTTTTCATTTTACATAAGAGTAATAAATAAACATCTTTAGTTATTACTATTAGTGTGGTCATATTCATTTTGGGTTTTTGAGCAATAAATTCTGAGACTAATCACCCTTCGGGATCATTTTTTGACACTTCTTTGAACAATTATCACCACCTAGGGAGACTATTGCTTTGCATTTGGCAATGAGTGGGGTTAATAGTTGGTCGATGAGTGGTGTTCATAGATTACGCTGTCGATTCTTTTTGAGTACTATCGACGAAAAGATCGATATTGGCAAATAGATCGAGCTAAAAAATCGATAGCGAAAGTACTCACTATCGACCGCAAAGTATCGATATTTACTCAGTACTCGATATTTCGTTCTAACACTAGTAGTGGGTACTTCGGTCGCTCGGTGTGGGTTACTGCTCTTTGATCGCAATAACCGGTCGGCCACTCGCGCCATACGCTGTGTTTTGTCTAGTGCCCGACTCCGGCAGAGGGTAATTGTTTAATTTCAGATTCGGGACACTCGACGGTGGATTACGTATTGCGTATTGCGCAATCTGCATACCGGACTGCGAAATCACCAATGAAGAATTGTCTAGCGTACGATGATACTGAATTGAAATTTAGACTCTCTGATATTTGTTTTGTTGTATCAGAAATTTACGTGTATAACAGGAGCACGCACGCATATATATATATATAATGTTAAATATGAAAATACAACACCCAGATTTTTAACACATACTTTATTTAATAATTACAGACGTTTCGAGGCCATGATATGCCTCATCTTCAGTGTTATTTCAAAACAGTAAAAATTATATACCAATACATTATTTAATATTTTATTTAAATTATATTCAATCTTTGAAAAACAAAAAACACACCAACTATCTTTTACAATGCTTGACACTGTACTAAATACTTGAATATATACAAAAATATTTGAAAACAAACCTTAAATGTCTAATATGAAGGGATAAGGATGAATATTCCTTCATTCTAGACACATTAAGATGTTGTTTTCAAATATTTTTGTAAATATTGAAAAATTTGAATATAATTTAAATAAAATACTAAATAATGTATTAGAATATAATTTTTACTGTTTTGAAATTGATGCATACCATGGTCTTGAAACGTCTGTAATTATTAAATATAGTGTCTTGAAAATCTGAGTGTTGTATTGTTCATATTTAACATTTAATATTCGTTCTACTCATATCACAAAATTCTATATATATAATGTGGATATAATCCAGATAATAAAATAGAAAAGAGGCTAAGACATGATTCTTAAAATGAATTTAATAGATCCACACGTTTCGAGTCCCAATTTGACTCTTCCTCAGTGGAAACAAAACTACAAAAAAATTAGGCTATGTTTCCTTTGATATGATTTTGTTTTATGTTTGTGTATTAACTACATGTGTGAAAAGTTTTCTGCATTTTTTATGTTAGATCTACTTTTATGTATTTTTTAACTCTTGTTTTTATTTATTCTATAATATTTTTGTTACTTATTTTATGTTAAATTTACATATTTTTCTCTTGCCATTTTTATAACCATGTACTTTTATAAGCTGTCTCTTGAAAATTGAATTAAAAAATATAAGGATGGCAAAAATGTACGAGCATTACACATCATAGATATGTGCTGTAATTAAACAAAAGAAGTTGATAAAGGGTATAACTTTATCTAAAGGCCTTACAATAATTTATAAGCAGCTTTCTGAGCTCCAAAATTTTATGGATAAAAATCGCCCCGAAATAGTTGCAATAGTTCGAACTTGGGAATTCAACAAAACATATGTACCTTTTTCTGCAATATTATGAATGGTCAGAAAAAATAATTAATAAACAGTTAATTCTTAATTTAAAATTATAAAAAAACTTCATAAAAACCACATTGGTGGAACAAATTAATGGCACATCAATGTATTTATATTGAAAAAAGTTGCTTCGAGATACGAGCGTGGTTACGGAGCGAATAATAAATATATACAACGCTATAGTTGCTTATTACTCATCTCTTGTTTCGATTTCCTTTACATTATGTATATTTATTACACAAAACAAGCGACATTTATTATATACATAAGTTCTTCCACATGACAAAATCTTGCAAGCGCAAGCAAAACAATACTGATGTCTAAATTATATTTATTGCACAAGCAGCAAATTGCTGCAAATAAATGAAAATCGATTAGTATGCCCTGTTGTAAATAATACCCACTTTATCCGCCCAGAATTACATTTACAGCGACGATAACCGTCGAGTTGAATATTGAATTATTAATTATGTATTTATGGGTTTTAGCGTGTCATCAATATTTGTTTTACATCAATATTACGCTGAGAATCTGAATGACTGTTTTTGTAATCATGATAAACTAAAAATATGAAAACTAGATGTTTAGTGAAGTAGTTACATTGAAAAATCTGTTTATATACAAACACACACTTACACACACAAATTTTCTTCTTCCAAATTTGATCTCATTCTGGTCAGAATTACTTGAAACGTCGAGAAAACATAAAATTAGCAAATCGGATTTTTCTCCTTCGGGAAGTTAACAATTATAGGTTATTAGAAAGGAAGGTTTTTGAAATTATCGAATATGCCATCCAGTTTTTGCTGTTACATAGATAAATATTTTAGTTGTTTATAGTTAAAATAAACAAACATACCTTAATTGTTTTATTTTGTAGACGAAGTCCATTTAATGTGTTAATTGCTTTTTCAGCGTCTTCTGGCCTATGGTAGTTGACAAATCCGTATCCCAAACTTTGTCCTGCAATTGGAATTGATTTATGGTGAGTGAAAAAAATATAATTACATTTGTTCTTTTTATATACGTTAGTTATAATATGTTGCTTTTAGAAATATCCTAAAAATAACTTTCTTATTTTCTCTTAATTGCGATTTAATCTCATCGGCATAGATAGGATTAAAATTTGTTTACCAAATATGTCGGAAAATGATTTTATTGTCTTGATTTATATATGTATATATATATATATATATATATATATATATATATATATATATAGTGCAGTTTTCAGATGGCATACGTTTCGATCTGGTTTGAATCATCTTCAGTGCCACATTAAAAAAATTACAAAGTAATAAATAATAACATATTTCTAAATCAATTATGATAATTCTTAGAATGCATGTTATATTTGTTTTAGAAATTTGTTAATATTTATTACCTTAATGTTTTTATTGTAGTACTAAAAATGAGCCAAACCAGGACTCAGAAAGTATGCTTTTCTAGTCTTTCGAAACGCTCTTTCGAATTCGTACTTGTCGTTATTGCAAAGCGATGGTGGTATTATTAGTAGCAAGCAATTAAAACAATAATTAGTTAATGAAATAAATAAATAATAATACCAAAAATAAAAAGTGATAATTTTCATATTAGTATTAATAAAAAATAATAACTCTAAATGAAACATACCTTTGTATAATGGTGAATTAATCGTTTCTGGAAAAACTAGAATAAGAAATAAAGAAAATGTGAACCAATAATAAATAATAAATTAATAATATAAATATAATTTAGTATATATAACTTAACAGTAATATTATTGAAGCAACACATAATTTTATTTTATGCTGTCGTAATGGATGCTATAAAATAATAATGCTAAAATTTCATTTTGTATGTTTTTAACTATAACTGGGAAACGAACCATTTTGTTATAGTATCTTCATATGTTTGATATTAAAATATTGTTAAAATTACTTTTTGAATATTTTTAACAAAATAGTCAACATACTATTTTTTATTAAATGATTTTACGTTAAAATTAATTTAATTTCTAACTTTTCGTAGGGTGGTAAGTTATATAAATCGCAGAAAAATCGAAAATAAAAATGTTTGCATATCATAACGTTTTTAGATCTCCTGATCATATTGGCATATTTTAGAAAAAAATGAGTGTATGTGTGTAGTATATGTTTATGTATGTTCGGATAATACTTCGTGGTGATTCTTTTGTTATGGGTCATCAATTTCGTGAGCACAGATCAACCGATTAGAATGATTCAAAAATATTCGAATCGTATTAACGGGGAGATGTGCCGGTTAGTTTTTGGCAAAGGCAAAACTGCAAGTTCAGCCGTTTTGAAGATACGAAGCAAAAAGTGTAAAATGCAGTTTTTGAAAGAACAGATCATACGACTAGAATGATTGTGTTTACCATTTGAGAAAAATATTAGATTTTGGTGAATTTAATTTTTGCTTCACTATTTTTAAGTATCAAAAATTATTTGAATTATTAATATTCAAAAATATATGAAGTTTTAGATTTTAAAAATTCTAAAGCTCACTTATATACTTGATCTATAATTTTAACTTTGCAATTCAGTTTATATAATTCTTACAAATGTGAGATAGGGTCCTCCTTAGAACGCCTTAATTTAAACTTTGGTCTTTAAGGTTTTGTTTATTTCTTGTAAATGATTACCAGGTTACCCAAACAAATATTTGAATGAATTCAGTGAAAAATATCCTACTCGATTTTTGAAAAAGAATGGCCATACGATCTAAAATAAAATGTTGAAAAAAAAGAAATATTCATTGGAGAAGAACTCTTTGAAGAAATGAAGACAGGCACATTGTCTTAAAAATTAATGATATGAAATAATAATGAATAACGATAAATATATGCATATTAAAAAAATTCTTGTAAACATACATACGTGCTCTGTGCCATAACGTTGTTGCAATATAAAATATGAATGATAAAATTTACAGTACTTATATATATATATATATATATATATATATAAGATAAATGCACATTCAGCAAATTTTCTGAGGTCACTATTCCTTTCCTTATTAAATAATAGGATTTTTTGTATTTTGAAAGTATGATTTAAACTAATGACATGTTCAGAAAGCATTGTCTTATACTGATTTGGATTTTTAGAATTACAAATGTGTTGGTTTATTTGCTCGTAGATATATGGCAAACTTTTCGCCAATAAACCTTGAAACCATCAAACCCTTGATCAATTAGATTATAGATTTCTGTTTCACGATGTTTTTTTGGCCACTAATTTTTTCCTGTGTATTAAAATCTCGAAGTGCATGATATTCTCACGGAATCTCTACGAGCAATATGTCCCATCGGAAATATTCCGACGGCACTTCAGGCGCATTTAATGGTCGCCTCAATCGTCATTGTTGGGACATGTATTTTGATATTGTATCGGGCTATTTTGGTATTGTTTACACGGTCACAGGAGTCTATTACGGCATAAGTTTGACGCGGTTGCTAACAGGAACACTATATTTAAAAACATTACATACAAATGCATAACCCACGGTCATTGAATCCAGATCGGTGTTATAAAGTTTGCGCAATATCCGAATCTTTTTGAATTATTGACATAGGCGCGCCCTAGTAAATCTGATGCAAACCATACTCGTTTGATTGAACCACCACGTATAAATTTGTAGTAAAAACCCAAAAAGTTTTTTAAAAAAAAAATTATCATCGGCGTTTCGGAACTACGTACGTTCCATCTTCAGAACATCAACTCGGAGACAAACATAAGTATATAACAATAATATAATATATATGGCAAGTGATAAATAAAAATAGTTGAGGATTGCAATATAAATAATAAAATTGTAAATGAGTGGAATATGTATAATATAATACATACATAATAAAATTTATGAATAAATGGATTATAAAACATAATGTTAAAATAAAAACTAGGTATTTTTGAATACATATGTTGAAAAGAGTGATAATTGAGCAAACAACATTATTTACCTGCATAAAAGAAAAATACTTTGAGACCTAATATAATTTAATTAACTATAATACTTCCATTTCACTACATTTTATTTTTCCCCCCTTTGTTTTTAGTTTTTTTTTATTTTATTAGCTCTAGTAGATACGCCACCGGGAGTATCTACTAAACAACTTGTCAGAATAAAATTAAAATAAAAAAAATTGATGATTATGTACTAACGCTTCGCATGTAACTACAAATCAAATTTTTCTATAAAGGATTTATTATTAGTTTTGTTTGTTTAAATTTTCATCATCCAGATAATGTTCTTCAGCACATATGTCCTGAAGATGGTACATAGTTCCAAAACATTGACAATAAATAATACATTTTTTAAAAAACTATTTGACATTTTATTACCATTGCATTCCTTGTTCTTTACTGTTTAATGTATTAAATAAATAATATAGATAGCATAGTTATTTGAAAAATAACATAATATTTATTTGTTATATTTATATAACACATATGATTTTTGGTAAATTAATTCTAAATTTTTCGCTCATATCTTACACAAAATATCAAGTTCGTATCTTAAGTATTTTAGAATACATGGTTTCTAATAATAAATTCGCATATTTCCGCATATGAGAAGTCGTAGCGATGAGACTAAGGAGCCAATTCTCCTTAATGTTAAGACAACACTATTCTACGGCCCTATCTTTGTTTGAATTGGTAGTAAAAACTGTACAACTTGCTTTAAACTAAGTATTTGCCGTGCGATCAGGCGTTTAACACAAAAAAAAACCTACAAAACGCACGTCAAATAACAACTTTATTATAAATGCAACTTTCTGATGTCTCTTTGATCACATATAAGTGAAGTTAAGTTTTATGTGATCGCACAGCATATCCATAGCATTTTGACATTTTTTTTATTTTCTATTTTATTTACAACTGTCCAGTTAAGGACATTTAATAAATTTCGGGAGTTTGCAAATTTACAAAATTTTGTGACGTATTGTGTTATTTATGAAACTAAATTATATATTTTCTACTCCCAAACATATAGGGACCGATTCTGCCGCATAACAGAAAAATGTTATGGCAAGGTCATGTTATGAAGAACTTTCCATACTAATATTGACAAAAGCCATGCGGTTGATGTGCAGTTAGGCGAATCTCTCAGGTTGTCCGATGGAAAGCATAACCTAAAAGCCGCACAAATGTCAAAAAAACAATGTTATATAACAGTGTGTTTCTGATACAGCTTCATAACATACGAGTGACGTTGCAGATTATTTGTAAAACGCCTGAATGAACAGCAAATACATGACATTTTGACAGTATTCAGTATGATTCATTAGCATAATGTATGGAAGTCGGAACATAACATGGCCTTGCCATAACATTTTTCTGTTATGCGGCAGAATCAGTCCCATAGTGTATATTATAGTGTTTCAATTTCTGGCACATCTCAACTGGTTTTCGGCAATAAGATTGTAGATATTACATTTTTCTCATTGATAATCATGAATATGGATATTATATACTAATATTGTTTAGGTGCGCTTAGAATAAACTCAAATTTCAAGTAAATCGACATTTTGGGCAGATGACAGTTCTCATGTGTCGAAACGCTTTCAATGCCAAACAAAGATATGTTATTTTTTGCAATTTTTTCCATTTTTTCTACAATATTACTATAGTTTTATAATTTTGTCAATTTTTACTACCAATTCATACGAAGATAGGACCGTAACGTTACCATAACATTTTTTTTATCCAAAAATTGGCTCCTAAGAGGTTTTATACAGAACGCAGTACTTTCGTTATTTGAGTGAATCGTTTTTAATTTATTTTTGTAAATTGAAATTTTTTACCACACCAGTGAAAATTTGCAGTCAGCGATTTCATAGATATCAATAAAATATTCAGACTTATCATTTCCTAATTAATAAAAGAGGCTTTTATTATACTATTTACGGCTGTGTATATAATTTGCCGTCAGTAAATATACCCTGAACTTGAAACAAA